ATTAGAAATGAGACCCTGACGATGGATCCGAATGCCCTGCCAGTGCACACGCACTCGGAGTACCTGAAGGCCCTCTATAAGGTGCTGGATATGCACGGCGACGATCGGCCAGACCTCTTGGAGCCGCTGATAGTTCTGACAGACTTTGAATACCAGGACTACACACACCTAGTGAGCACCACTTTCTCTCTTTCTCATATGTGCATGATAATGGTTTTATGCCGTAATTCCACATATATACTAGCTAAAAGCCCAGACACGTGTATCGCCGATGTTTCTGCTACTGCGTAATACAGCAACTACATGCACATATATTGTTTTCATCGTCCCCCAAGGAAAAAGGGAAAGAAGGGACGACGACATGGACCAAAGTGTACTTAGACTGAAGTTTCGGAAACGCGCTCGGTTTCATCATCAGAGTAACGTGGTCATTGTTCCTTTCTGCCAGGACTGATTCAACCTTACTGCATGTCTGGTATTAACTACCTGCCCAAGGCGCGCACTTTGACCTGCCCGTTTGCTGTTGATTGACCATGAGATTGACCGCTGGAGGCTCGCGTTGCCTTGTCCTCTTTGAGGCTGTCGTAATTTTCGACAAGTCAGCTTGCTTACTAGCCTTTCCCGCGTCGGCCGACAGACTGATCAATTGTTGCTGTCCGCGCGGGTTGATGTCGGTCTCGTAGGCGCGGCAGTGAGGTAGCGTTCCACGCTGGTAACTTGGTCTTTGACCAACTCCTCTCCTGCTTTCTTCTGACCTCAGTTATAGTCCACGCGCGAGTTTCTTTCGCCGTCCTGTTAGCCTTGTTCGAACTGACTTGAACTTTATGGGAAGCGCCCGATAGGCGGGATAACGGTCTATGGCTCTGTTAAGTGTGCCAGTCAAAGACCAACTTTCTATCAGCAGTCTAGCCATTTTCTCATTGACTCGGCCTTCCTTTTATTAAAGGTTAAAATGTGGTTCTTCTGCTGTACGTGGTCATAGACCGTAGACAGTTTATCCTTGCGGTTGATTGCGAGCTGATGCTCGTGCAAACTTATGCCAAGGCGTTTGCCAACATACCCTGCATCGCAGTTTAAGCACGGTATGCTGCAGACCACGGCTGATTGTTCTGTCAGTGGAAGCGGGTCTTTGGGCTTCATCATCTGCTGTCTGATGATTGACTCCAGCTTATGAATCACACCGATCCCAAGTGGTTTCATGATTCTTGTAGTCGCCTCTGACAATTCCTTCACACAAGGGATTGCGAGCCAGAAAAATACAAGATGGACCGGAATAGCCGTTTCAGGCTCATTAACGGTCAGCAGCCAGCCGTATCAAATCGGAAGTTTGAAGCACCTGCAATTTGAACCTAGGATCTTTGCTCATTGAATCCAATGTTTCACCACCGAGCCAGGGGTCCCTCGTCCTGTCAGATTCAATGGAACATATTAATTAGCGTAGGAAGAGTGCTCTCCGGGCGGGTTACGAAAACTGTTCATGCACGCAGGCGTCTAGTAACCAGAAATATATCCTGAAGTGAGTTCTGACCAAGGATCCCGAATTGGAATACCTGGCTG